ATTGAACTTTCTATTTGTATGAAATAATGCACTATTAACAATTTCAAAATAGCTATAGAAATGAATTACCTGCCCAAAATCATGGGGCAGTGCCAGATCTACAATAGGATGTGCTTGGCTGCTAACCAAAAGGTTGGAGGTTCGAGTCCACCTAGAGCACCTCAGAAGAAAGTGCTGGCAGTCTACTTCCAAAACATCAGCCACTGACAACCCTATGGAGCACAGTTCTCTGACAGATGTGGTGTTGCTTTGAGTCAGAGTTGACAGGACAGCAACTTTGTTTGCTTGTTTGTTTCTAACATGGCCCTGGGAGGGACCCAAACAATGTTTATATGGATACTTTTGTATCTTTTTGCACCCTTTTTTCTTAAGAGAGCCCCCAACATAATATTAGCTTCAGACTCCACACAACTCAGATTTAGACCTATCCCTTCCCCCTTGTGCTCTCAGTTTCAGTAAATGGCACCATCCCTCCATCCTGTTACTCTTTCTAGGAACTTAAGGGTCACCTTTGTCACTTCCTTTTCCCTCAACCTCAAGATCTATAATGACTCACCAAACCGTTGTCAATACTCTGGACTACACCCTCAGTGAGTCTGCTTTACTTCACCCTCACTTTTACCACCCTAGACCAGACCACCATCATCCCCCATGTGGATCACTGTAGTAGCCTCCTAACCATTCTCCTTATTTCTGTTTTACTCCTCTCCAGTTCTTATTGCACATGGCAAATATAATGATGCAAATGGAAATCCAGTCCCATCGCTACCCTATTTAAAATCATTCTGAGACTTCCTTCTTAACTTACAAAGTTACTTGATCTGACTCCTGCCTAAGTCACCACTATCCCTTTCATCCTTTCTCCTCATGCCACACTGGCTTTCTTTTATTTTCTCAAACATGCTTCAAACATGTCCCATTCCTGCCTGATGGAATACTCTTGGCTCAATTTTTCATGAGGCTAAAGCCAAAAGGTTGGCGGTTCAAACTCACTAGTCACTCCAAAGTGGAAAGATGCCGCAGTCTGCTTCCGTAAAGATTTATAGACATGGACCTATGGAGCAGTTCTATTCTGCCCTATAGGGTTGCTTATGAGTTGGAATTGACTCAGTGACGAGTTTAAAGCCTCATAAACTTAAATATCACATCTTTCTTGAGAACAACCACAGATTCCCCCAATTCCCATAATGCGATATTTGCACATTCTTTTTTTTACAGCCTGTCTCACACAATAATTAAATAATACCCATGTAGTTATATGTGTGCTGTCCTCCCCACAAGTCTAAGCTTCACGGTGGCATGGACC